AGAGAAAGAAAGAGAGAGAGAAGAAGAGAAAGAGATAGAGAGAGAGAGAGAGAGAGAGAAAGAGAAAGAGAGAGAGAGAAGAAAGAGAGAGAGAGAGAGAGAGAGAAAGAAGAGAGAGAGGGAAGAAGAGGAGAGAAGCCGACCAATATCTCTCGCCTAATTAGACCAAGATCTCCCGGCATCTCGGCTACAACGACAAAAGAAATTAATGGCGTGAGATTCCTGGAAGCCAAGAAATAGAGGAGAAAGAGAGAGAGAAAATGAAAGAAAGCGAAAGGGAGAAAGGGCGAGAGGATGACAGGGTGAAAGCGAAAGAAGAGGAACAGGAAGAAGAAGAGGGAGCATAATGAGATTGGAGATAGGAAGCGACCGCAGCGAAAGAGAAAGAAAAGAGAGATGGAAATAACTGGAAAAGGAGAGAAAGGGGGAGATAGCACAACCAAGGAGAGACGGAAGAAGCGAGAGTGAGAGAAATGACAGAAAGGGGATGGTAGGGAAGAAGAGGAAAAACAAGGGGAGGCAGAGATGAAGACAGAGAAAAAAATGGAAAGAATAATGATAAGAGAGAGAGATAGACAGATAGAGAGAGGGGGGAGGAGGGGGGAGGGAGGGAGGGAGGAGGGAGAGGAGGGAGAGAGGAGAGAGGAGAGAGAGAGAGGGGGAGAGGAGAGAGAGAGAGGGAGAGAAGGAGAGAGAGAGAGGAGAGAGGAGAGAGGGAGGGAGGAGGGAGGGAGGGAGGAGAGGGGAGGGAGGGAGGGAGAGGGAGGAGGGAGGGGAGGGGAGGGAGGGAGGGAGAGAGAGAGGAGAGAGAGAGAGAGAGAGAGAGAGAGAGAGAGAGAGAGAGAGAGAGAGAGAGAGAGAGAGAGAGAGAGAGAGAGAAGAGAGAGAGAGCGCCGGCAAAATCAATGGCGGGAGGACCTTGGACCCAAATGGAGTAGGTCACACACACCGTCATGGGCGTTTGGCACCGCCTCTCCATCTCTCTCCCTCTTTATCTCTCTCCGTACGGTTTATATATATATATATATATATATATATATATATATAATATATATATATATATATATATATATATAGTATATATTATTATATATATGTAAATAATATTATTATATATATATATATATATATATATATATATGTATATATATATATATATATATATATATATATATATAATATATATATATATATATATGTCTCAACTCTCTTTCTCCCTCTCTCTCTACCTCTCTCTCCACATCTTTCCCTCTCACTCTCCTCTCTCTCTCCGCCCTCTCTTCCCTCTCTCATTCCTCCTCTCTCTCCGCTCTTCCTTCCTTCTCCTCCTTTTCTTATTCCCCAACACAAAAAATCTTTCTCAACACCACTTAAACTGAATATGAAAGAAACAGAAAAAAGTAAATACTACAACTACTACTCGTAATGAGGGAAATAAGAATAAGAATAAAGATAAGAATAAGAAAAAAAGTGATAAAGGTAATGACAATAATGTTGGTGATAAAGAATGAGGATGATAGCAATAACAATAACAATAACAATAATTACAATAATAATAATAATTATTATAATAATAACAATAAAAAGTAATAATAATCACAATAATAATAATAAAATATAACACTAATATCTATGTTATCAATAAAAGTAACGAAAACCATTATGACAATAATAACAATAACAACAACAATAACAATAACAATACCCATAATAATAATAACAATAATAAAAATAACCAGCAAAAACAACAACTAAAAATAAACCTCTCAACCCCCCCCCCCCCATCCAAACACGCTACCCAAACAAGAAAAAATATTGACAAATAAAGTTCCCGAAACATCCCTAACGCAGTACTTATAAAACAAAAAAACAACAACAAAAAATAAAGCAAAAAAAATAGGCCTACAAAAAACAGTGACGCAATGTCCTCTCGGCGTCCTTGAGCTTCTACGCACCGAGGCAGATGCTGTCACCTCTCCCTCCCTGTCTCCAAAAAAGCTGTTGTTATTCTCATTATCATCTTTATTATATTTTTTGCGCGTGTGTCAGTCGGTGGTTGTGTCGACTTGAGAAAAAAATAACGTGTTTTTTTTTCTTTTTTTTTTCTTTTTTTTTTACTTGTTATATATTCAAATGTTTTATTAGCTAATGAATGACTCGATCTTATCCATTCATTTTTCTTATCTATTTTCTTACACGTATAATCTATTTACACGAGACAAACAAATCAAGCAATCCTATATATATTTATTTTCGCATTTCCTGAATATAATTCGAGATATAATAATATAATATAATAATCGAGATATAATTGCAAATCGTGTGAGACTTTTTTATTTCTGATTGGCTTCTGTTCTTTTAGTATTTTACGCTATTTTTTCTAACTTCACGTATTATTAAGTTTAACCATCGAAAAAATCATATAACTAAAGAAAAAAAAATGTCTCAACCGTACCCTTATTTCTCATATTTCATAATATCTTAAAATATTTCCTCTACGAAACGCCGAATTTCCGCCGTAAAGAATGAAAATTAATGAAAGGAAAGCGACCACGTGGCTGCAGCAAACGTACACGCACGCACATACACACACGCGCGCAAACAAACCCACACACAGAACTTCCCCGGCTAAGAATAGTAACAGTTAATTCGTGTCCGTGTTTATCAGCACGCTCGTCGATCCTTATTTCCCCTCTTTCTCCAACCCCACGCCCCCTCCCTCTACTCCCACCTCGCTCCTCCCACTTCCCTCCCTTCCCCCCCCACCCTTCCTCTCCCTCCTTTCTTCTCCCTTACCCTCTACCTCCTACTTCCCTCCTCCCTTCCTCTTCTTCCTTATCCCCCTACTTCCCTCCTCCTTTCTCCCCGCATCCTCCTCCCTCCTCCCTCTCCCTTCTTTCCCCTCTACTTTATCTTTTCCTCCTATTCTCTTCCCGCTATGCTGGTCCCTCAAAGCTCTCTTATTTTTCTTTAAGCTCCGCCCCTTTTCCCTTTAGCTCCTCCCCCTCGCCGAAGCTCCGCCCTACTCTACTGGCCCACTGCCAAGATCAGGTCACGGTCAAGGTCGTTCGAGCGTTCGGATGACGAAAGGGGAAAGAGGGAAGGGGGGAGGGGGAAGGGAGACGGAGAGGAAGACCGTAGAGGGGAAGGAAGAGGGAAAAAATGGAGGAGGGAGCACTAGGACGAGGGGGAAAGGACACGAGAGGAAAGATAAACGTCAAAAAAAAGATTGGAAAAAAAGGGGAGGGGAAACCAGACGAAGTATGTAGGCCACACACACACATCTCCTTCTAAACCTCCCCCACCCCCCTCCCCTCCCCCGTCCCCTACTCCACATCTTAGGGTAACCATGGCAACCCGCAGTGGACTCTCGTAAGATCCATTCATCAGTAAACCCAAAACAATAACAACTCAAACAAAACACACAAACCCCATCCTCACCCCCAAAACGCCCCACTTTTTAAAAATAACCAACAAAGAGGAACAAGAAATGAAACACGATAATTAAGTCAAACGGCGCGACACACCTCTGCACAGTCCGCGGGGTTTCCGAAATGGCCTCGCCCAGGTGAGACAAGGCCAAGGACATTCTCGCCGAGCTCTTTGGCCTCAAAGTATTGATCCCGGTATTAAAACTTCGTCTTTTTTACAACATGTTTCGACTTGTTTCCATAACATTTTCACCGGCCCTGCTCAACCAAGGTCTGACACGATTTCGAGGAAACAATGCATGGTCATTTTTGCCGCGATCTTATTACACAGGGTTGAATACGATCTCGAATTCGTGATGTTTTACATTTTTACTTTTTTTCAGTGTCATGGCGCGCATTTTGAAAATAATGCAGCAAGAGAAAAAGACAAATTATCCTTGAAGCTAGATCAGAGAAAACTAAATACCAGCATTACATACAAAAGCCGAAACCCTGTGATAAAAAATACAACTACATGAGGAATATAATAGTTTACCTTCTACGTTTCTCCATTTTCTGTGATGCTAGACAGTGACTGTGAATACATCCATTTTCTATGTCGAGACTTTTCAATAGTATACGCTGATATTGGTAATTTCATCTCCCGGTGCAGCCTTGATTCTTTGCTTTTAGAGTCTCGACTGAAGAAAGTGTAGCAAGACAAAATTACCTACTTTCACAAAATGCGGTCAAGCTCTTTCCAGCTGTCCTACTCCCTCACGAGTAGGACTCCTACTCTTACTCTCCCTCTCTCCTTCCCTCAGCTCTTATCCCTTCTATCTCTCTCTCTCTGTCCATGTTCTCTCTGGCTGTCTGTCTGTCTGTCTCTTTTCTCTGTCTCTCTTTTCTGACTCTCTCTGACCTCTCTGACTCTCTCTCTCCCTCCTTCCCTCCTCCCTCTCCTTCCTCCTTCCCTTCCCTCCCTTCCCCCTTCCTCCCTCCATCCTCCTCCACCCTCCCTCCCTCCCTTCCTCCCTCCTCCCTCCCTCCCTCCCTCCTCCCTCCTCCCTCCCTTCCTAGTCCCATTTTCTCCATCTGCTCGCTCGACCCACCGTCTGATCATGCAACACCAATGCAAGGATATGTTCAGTGCTCGCAGGAAAGCCTTGCAACTTGGAGCCCTGGCATAGAGCTCGCAGCGACGGAAACGAGACAGGATTGACCACTTTGTCCACACTTATCATTTTTCTTTTCACTCTTCTTTTTACTTCTTCTTCTTCTTCCGTATTTTACTATCTGGGGGGAAAATGTTTTTTTTTCTTATATATTCATCCCTCATTTTCTTTCTCTTTTGGAGTTATTTCCACAACTTGTAACGTTATTCCTCGCTCTTAATCTCTATCTTAAATTCTTTACTTTCCACACATCAATGCATTTATCAAGCTGTACCTCCCCCTCTCCTTCTCTTTCCTCTCTCCCCTTCACTCTACCCCCCCCCCCCTTTTCTTTCCCGGACACGCAAGAACTGAGAGGATAACACAGCCACCACGCACAGATACCCGCAAGTGCCCCTCACTTTTTACTTCAGCAAGAGCAAATAGACCCAATACCATCGAGTGCTTAGGAAAACTCAAGGATGCAGCTCTCAACAGGCGCGGCTTTTCGTTGCAATTGCGCAACCGCAGACTCCGTCACCCCTCGCCAAGCCTTCTGCGGGAGACGGGAAAGGGGGCACTCACCTGGGTGTGGCAGGCGGGACGCGGCACTCTGGAGCTCACTCAGAGCCCTCATGTGGACCTCTCGGGAACTCTGACGAAAGAAACGGGGGAATTAATGACTCGGTGCATAGAGGAGGAATAAAAAAAGAATGTTAAGAAAACAGATACTTCCCAGCCTCTTCCCCTTTCCTTCCTTCCTTCCTTCCTTCCTTACCTCTTCCCTCCTCCCTCCCACCCTTCCCTCTTCCCTCCCTCCCTCCCTTCCTTCCCTCCTCCTCCCCTCCCCCTTCCTCCATCCCTTCCTTCCTCCCTTCCTCCCTCCCTCCCTCCTCCCTCCTCCCTTCCACCACCACCACATAAACCACATCAACCTCCTATGCAGATTGAAAAATTCACAAGACTGACGCAAAACGCCATTTTTACAACCATCATCGGTTAGACAAAACCATTTTAAAAAATATAATAAGACTGACGCAAAACGCTTTTTTTTACAACCATCACCGGTTAGACAAAACAATTTATTTTTATAATTTTCAACTCCGTATCGATGTATTGAGGCGCGAGAAGTGAAACGAGCGCATAAAAAAAGAATGGTGTTAAGGGACCAATTCAGTGTCGTAACCCTCGAGGGAGGCGAGAGTTCGTGAACTAAGGCGGCGATGAGGCACCGAGGCTTATTTGGAATGGGTGCGCATCTCGCTTCCATTGCCACGCTCAGGTAAAGAGATGGTAGTAGGTATATATATATATACATATAGATATCATATATCCATTATATACATATAATATATAAATAAATATATATATGTATATAATATATATATATATATATATATATATATAATATATACATAATTATATCTATCTATCTATCTATCTATCTATCTATCTATCTATCTATCTATCTATCTATCTATCTATCTCTCTCTCTCTCTCTCTCTCTCTCTCTCTCTCTCTATATATATATATATATATATATATATATATATATATATATATATATATATATATACATACATACACACAAATATGAATATAAATAAAAAATAAAAAAAATAAAAAAAATAAATGAATAAACAAATAAATATATATATAAATATACATATATATATAAAGTTTCGTGAGGAGGAAAGTCTAGCGAGATTCCCAGTGTCGCGTAGAAGAAAGAGGAAGAAGCGTGAGAAAATGAGATGAGGTGATAAGGCCAAACGTTGAAGATTACGATTATGCTGAGGAGAGAAAGAGGGAGAGAGAGAGGGGGGGGGGATGGAGATAGAGAGAGAGAGGGGGGATGGAGATAGGGAGAGAAAGGGGGCACGCAAGAGGGAGGGATGGAGATAGGGAGAGAAAGGGGGCACGCAAGAGGGAGGGAGGGAGAGGGAGAGAGAAAGAGGAGGAGGAGGAAGGAGAATGGAATGGAAAGGGAGGGAAGGACTGAAGGAGGGAGAGAGGACGGAAGGAGGGGAGGAGGAAAGAAGGAAGTAAGGGGGGAGGAATGAGGAGAGAGAGAGAGAGAAGAGAGAGAGAGAGAGAGAGAGAGAGAGAGAGAGAGAGAGAGAAGAGAGAGAGAGAGAGAGAGAGAGAGAGAGAGAGAGAGAGAGAGAAGACGACAGACAGAGAAAGAAAGGAGAGGTAAGAGAGAGGGAGGAAGGAAGGGAAAGAAAGAAAGAAAGAGAAAGAAAGAGGAGGAGAAAGAGAGAGGAGCACAGTCAACAACATTGTGTTCTTTTAACAGGAACTCCCCGGAAAAGGTCATTTGAATGTGGAACAATATTTTTTTCTGCAATTCGCCACACTTCTTACTCGCAACTTGCTTCCTCTCCCCCCCCCCCCCACACCCCTTCCCCCTAGTCAGGGTAAGGTTACAAACAAAGCAGTAGCAAGATGCGATCAGCTGATTGCTTCATTACCTACTAATAACATTAATATCACTTATCTACCTGGATCAAATGCACCGGATATTGACCATTGTAAAAGAAAAGTTCGAAGAAAAAGGAAAAGATAAAAATGAGAAAATGAGCCTTGAATATAACAGACAATGGCGGCAACAAAAGTGGACACACACAAAAAAAGCAATCAGTGTGATAAGCCTGATATAATTGCATTCTTATCTTGAAAAAAAATCGAACAATGAACGCTATAAAATGACAAATCCTACACGGAAAAAAAACAATCAAAACATTAAAATGACCAGGAAATACCGACATTCACACAGAAAAAAAGAAAAAATATATATAAAGCCATTTTATCACAAAAAAAAAATGGATGCTGAACCAGCGAAGATGACACAACTTTACAAAATACATAATGTTAATGATATTATAATGATAATGATCAAGTAAACAAAAAAAACTTGTATCATTCTCAATCCAAAGAAGAACGGCATAAATGAATAAATCAATAAACAAACGATTATTATGTAAAAGTAACTCGCCGCCTCATCCGTGATGAAGATAGCCACCGCGAGATGGCACCACCGCGCACCATAATACGTTTCTTTAATGGTGACATATGCGCCACCTATCACTAAGGCTTTCAACGTAGACTTAACCGATACAGTGAGGCAAAGAATTCACCAAGAACTTTGATATAAATACATGGAAATATACCGGTTTATGCGCTAAAGGAAATTATGAGAAAAGGGAAGTAGAGTAATGGTAATGAAAAGGAACATATACGAATGAAGAAAACAGCGAAGATGCAGAGAAAATAAACGATAAAAAAGGAAAACCAGAGTAACGATAATGAAAAAATAAACATAAAAAAATAAAGAGCATAGCGCAGATTCAGAGAAAGAAAAAAAAATAAGAAAAAAAAAGTTTCTAAAAATATTTCTAAAAATCGGGGAAACAAACAAGAAAGAATTAAACAAGAAATAATCCAATCTCTCCTGCAGAAGTTATTAACCATATTGTACATTGCACACGATTGACCATATTGCAAGGAGTCCGCCCAAGCAAACTTCCCGACGGACAGAACAACACAACGCTTGCATAGGCCTACAACCCATTCCTGCCACGGGGCCATCAATCGTCTAAAAGCACGCGGAAGAAAAGAAAAAGAGAGAGAGAAGGAAAGAACATGGAAAGGAGGAGGATGGTGAGGAAAAGAGATAATAGGAGGAAGGAGAAGTATATATAAAAAAAAATGCAGAAAAGGTAGACAAAGAAATGAACATGTAAGAAATATGAGAAAAGAAAACGGGAAACAAGAGAAAAAGGAGAAGGGAGACTATAATAAAAAATACAAAGAAAACAAAGATGAATAGAGCAAAATAAAAACAAAAATAATCAAGCGCCGATAAATAAAGACAAAAGAAAATAACAAAAGAAAACCACAGACACTAGAATGACCCGTAGAAAAAAAAAAAACTGGTTTCCTCGCCCCCCCCCCAAAAAAAAAAAAAAAAAAAAAAAAAAAACTACAAAACCCGCAAAATGTCAACAAAACTCCTTCTTACAACAGGCCAAAGCACATGACCCAACCTTTCGACGGCGCCAACCAGGACACCCATGTTAGGTCAGCTTGGGTCGCCCCTCACGCCCAAAGCCCAGCCAAACCCGGCGCGTTGCAGGAGACGCCCATACCCCTTATACCCGCTCCTGACCCATATACCCACTCCTAATACCCGCACCTGATCGTCACACCCACTCGTAATACCCTCTCCTAACCCTTATACCCACTCCTGTCCCTCATACCCACTCCTAATACCCGCTCCTGATCCTCATACCCACTCCTAATACCCGCTCTGACCTCATACCCGCTCCTGATCCTCATACCCACTCCTAATACCCGCTCCAGAACCACATACCCACTCCTAATACCCGCTCCAGAACCACATGCCCACTCCTAATACCCGCTCCTGCTTTCCATGCAAGCACAGACACCGACCGGACGAGTCTGTGAGTCTCACGCCGTAAACCTGCTCCCTGAGTTTTAGGTGTTAAACCGACGCAGTAAAATCCAGACCGCTATTTGCGAACAGCTGTTTGCCGTGCTATGTATGTGTAGTCATGTGTGCGTGTGCGCGTGTGTGTGTGAAGAGAGAGAGAGAGAGAGAGAGAGAGAGAGAGAGAGAGAGAGAGAGAGAGAGAGAGAGAGAGATGACTGAGAGAGAGAGTGTGTGCGTGTGTGCGTGTGAGTGAGAGAGAGTGTGTGTGTGCGTGTGAGAGAGAAGAGAGAGTGTGTGTGTGTGTGTGTGTGTGTTGTGTGTGTGTGTGTGTGTGTGTGTGTGTGTGTGTGTGTGTGTGTGTGTGTGTGTGTGTGTGTGTGTGTGTGCGTACGTATATATGTATGTGTGCGTGTGTAAGAGAGAGAGAAAAAAGGCAAATCCGGGAAAGTCAGCAGAGTAAAGAGAAATACCTAAAATATCTAAAAAATATATATATATACATGAATACTCATCGATAGCAGGTATCTTATTTTTTCTGAAACCATTTTCAAGACCCTGACTTATCGCCATATCGACTGTCCTTATCATCCGTCACATTAACACAGCACTTATTATTTTTTCTAAAACAGCAAACAAATCAAAACTTATCCGCTACCTACCAATTCCTTACGTAGTTATTACCAAACACTATCGATTAAAATAAAAATAAAAATTCTCAAACCATACAAAAAAAAAAAAAAAAAAAAAAAAACACTCCATACTCCCCAAACTCCCAATAAAAGCTTCTAGTACCAACTCCTCATCCCTATACCCACTCCTCACACCCGCCAAACACCTCCCTCCCCCCTTTAAACCTTAACTCCCAAACTCCAAACAACTCCAAAACTCCCCCCCTCCCCCTTTAAACCTTAACTCCAAACTCCAAACAACTCCACCTCCCCCTCCCCACCCCGCCCCAAACTCCCAACGCCAAACAACCGACAGACTCCAACTTCAAATATTTCCCAGGAATTCAAAATCGCCGTGAAAACCGCATATCATATCTCTATCAAGGACTTTGTAAGTACCCTTATACCTTATATTGCCTTATTACGCGGCTTAAACAGAATTCTTTGATAAGATAGGAAGTCTGTAAGAGAACCCCATTATACGGTTTCGTGGCCAAATCTACATATCTACAAGGGTGTCGATGTTTCAAGTGGGTTGCTGGGTGGGCGGAGGGAGGGTACGTGTCTACGTGTGTGTGTGTGATAATTCAATAGAGGAGAGAAGAGTGGGTAGAAAGAGGAGAGGAGAGGGGAGAGGGGAGGGAAGGGAGAGGGGAGGGAGGGAGGGAGAGGGGAGGAAGGGAGAGGGGAGAGGGAGAGGGGAGAGGAGAGGAGGAGGGAGAGAGGGAGAGGGGGGAACGAGGAGGGGGGAAAGGAGGGAGAGGAGGAGGGAGGGAGGAGGGAGGGAGGGAGGGAGGAGGGAGGAGAGAGAGAGAGAGAGAGAGAGAAGAGAGAGAGAGAGAGAGAGAGAGAGAGAGAGAGAGAGGAGAGAGAGAGAGAGAGAGAGAGAGAGAGAGAGAGAGAGAGACAGAAGAGAAGAAAGAAAGAAAGAGAGAAGACAGAAGGAAAGAAGAAAGAGAGAGAGAGAAAGACAGGGAAAGAACAAAGAGAGAAAGAGATGAGTGAGTGGGAGTGAGTCGGCGAGTGAAAGAAAAAAAATTGTCAATAAGTGAATGATATGGTGTCCATCATTCAGGAATGAGTGATTGCATACTGCCATACACCCCCCCCCCCCCCGCAAAAATTGCACCCGCCACTCAATAAATACACGCAAACTAAAACAAAATAATGTGAAAAGCAACTGTGAATAAAATTATTTCACACGCGTACCCCGTCGACCAACCACCCTCCTCCCCTCCCCCTCTCCCCTCCCCCCCCCGCCCACACAGGTCGGGTCATCTCCAGCGCCCGAATAAGGTCATGGGGTTTCGCTCTCGCTCGAGATGCCATATAAGGAACACGAGCCCGTTTTCCCTTTTTTTTACGTTTCTACTCTTTGGGAAGTAATTTTTCAATACCGACCAGCTTTTACTTGCTACTTTCTGTGTCTAAAAAAGGAGAAATTGTCCTTCACGACTTGTACTAATCTAAAATATGAAATGGGGCGAAAGAGACGCGGAAGAACTAGTAATAGCAACGACTGTAATGGTAGCAGTAATAATAGTAAACGACAGAAATCAGAACAAATACAAACCGAATAGTTAATAAACAAATAAGAATGTAAACAAATAAGAATGTAAACAAACAGAATAAAGAAAAGACTGGTATCTTGTTCTCTTATCTAGGACAGTTACCCACGGCGCGGCGTTCACCTCCACGCACATCATCCAACGACACAAATTTCGAGAGGCGCTGAAAGCTTCATTTGTACATATTGCTTTCTTTCTTTCTCTTGCTTTATCACAAAAGATGTTTTATTTGTATTACCTTTTTTCAATGTGCTGTTGTGTACATGAAATTTGTCTTTGGACGCAGAAACTTGATTATCTTACCGACTTTAAGGTCGACGACTTCGACGAAGACGAGGAGGACGACGAAAATGAGGACGACGCGCTGCGGCGGGGGTGCTGGAGGGTGTGTGAGGACGACCTCCTGCGGGCGTAATGGGCGCGGGGCAGCATCGTGGAGGGCAGGACGGCCAGGGACGACCACTGCCGCCCGCCGAAGTCATCGGAATTGCAGCGTCTTAACATCGCACGGGTCGGATTCGGCGAAAGTACTTGCGGAAGGGAAGGAGGGAGAGAGAGGAGGGAATGGAGGGGAGAGAGAGGAGAGGACGGATGGGAGAGGAGGGGAAGGGAGAGAGGAAGGGGGTAGGGGCTAGGGGACAGGGAGCAGAAGGGAGGGAGGGGGACCTAGGACCGAAAAGAGTGAGAGGTTACAGGGTACGGGACACGAAAAAGGGTCTTAAGGGGTCTGGAAATCCCGAAATCTGTGCCAACCGTTAAGAAGGGAACTGAAGCCAGCAGGAATGAATAGTTTCGTGGATTACATATATTTCCAGGTAGGTCAGGATGACGGGGAGTTTGTGGAGAGGAGCGAGAGGGAGAGAGGGAGGAGGAGAGAGGGTGAGGAGTGAAGGGTGAAGGTGAAGAAAGAGAGAACGACGGGAGATGAACAGGGAGGAGAAATGCAAGTTGCAACGTCCTCACGGGGAAAAACCTGTTCTGCCGTATGCCGCCGACAACTATTCTTCTTTGCTTCTTCCTATTTCACTGCACGTTCACTTCCTTCCGAAGCTAAACCATCATAAAAGAAAACAAACGAAAGAATGAGACCAACGCACAGACCACCACTAAACGCTTCGGCCTAACCGCTTAACTCGCGCCCGAGACACTCTGGTCAAGCAACACGTCCCGAGCGGTTCTCGCTTGCCTTCGGCGCTTTTCACTTTTGCGGTTGCTTCTCCTTCGTGAGGGGAGCTCGTGACGGCGCTGAGGGCGTCTCGCTCCTGCCGCCGCCGCCGTCCACGAGCGGTAGTTTCACCCGCATTTTTTTTTTCTTTTTCGAAAAGTTCTCACCGGAGAGATTAGAGACGTAGCACTTTTTTAGCGATCACTACAACGGTAAAAGCGTCGTTAGCCAAATGCGAGGCGACGAGTAGACATACCGCTCATAATCGCACATATGTTTACACCAAACCGCCAACACGACAACTAAAACAACACAATAACGCAACAACTTTTTAAAAAATACAACGATAACGGAGACAACACGCGTGCCACGAACGAACGCACACCACCGCTGAGATAACGAACGGACCGCGATCACTTCAGGTCACTCCGGGCCTTCGGGAGAACACTCTCTGACGAGCCTTTAACCCACTCTCACGAGCTGCTCGAAGGACACACGCAAGCAATCCAGGAGACACGATCGCAGCTGCCCCGAAAAAGCGACGCGACGCAGCGAATACGGAACGGCCTTTCGAACACAACTCCACGAATCCACGAAAAGAAAATCCAACGCGCCGAAGGTAGAAAAAAAACGACGAATATTCACAAATAAATCGAAATAAACCCCGGTACGGACACTCTACGAGAACCGCCATAAGCAAGCAAGCAAGCACGCAAGCAAGGGCCAGATGGGAAAGTCGGCGGCGTTGCGAGCGAACCACTCCACCACCTGTAGCTCCTACGGTCACTGGCACACTCCCTGGCAAGCACATTGGACAAGGGGGCGTGGCATAAGTCCGGGGCTGGGAGGGGGAGGTCTATTAGGGGGGGAGGGGGAGGGAGAGAGCGAATGGGGTAAGGACGGAGAGGAGGGAGAGAGGGGGAGAAGGAAGTTGGGGGGAAGGGGAAATGGGAGGGACGGAGGACAGAGGGGGGGGACAGGGGAGGAAGAGAAGGGACAGGGAGCGAGATAGTGAGGGAAGGGGGAAGAGGGGGAAGGGGAAAAAAGGGAGGGAAAGAGAAGAGAAATGAAAGGGAGAAAAGGGAGAGGGAAAAGCAGCAGGACAAATGAAGGGAAAAAGAGAGAGAAGAGAAGGGATGGTGAAAGCAAGGAGGGAGGATGAAGAAAAGGAGAGGGGAGAAGGAAGAGGAAGAAGAGCGAAAAAGAGGGGCGAGGAAGGAGGAGGGGAAAGTGAAAGGGAGGAATGGAAGGAGGAGGAAAGTATTGTGAAAGGAAGGAGTAATAAGGATCAGGGAAGAAAGAAGAAGAGAGAGAGAGAAAAGAGAAGAGGAAGAAGAAGAGAGGGTGGAAGAGAGGAAGGAGTGGAAGAGGAAGAGGTAAGGAAAGAGAAGAAAGAAGAAGAAGAAAACAACAACCACGCCAAATGAAAGAAAAACAAACCAAAGAACATTAAAAAAGAAAGAAGAGGACGAGAACCGAAAAGGAGAAATAGAGCTACACGAAGAAGAAGAAGAAGAAGAAGAAAAAAAAGGATGAACAACATCGCGACGTCGAAGCGGAGGCCAAAGAATGCGAACTCGACCTGGAAACGAAATAGAAAGGAAGAACCGGTATGGAAAGAGAGGAAGAGAGAAAATGAAAGTGCGAGAGGTGGGGGGAAAAGGAGAAAGTAATGGGAGAGGATGACAAAGCGAGGATAAGAAAATATTGGGAGATGGGAGAGAGAGAGAAGAATAAAATGGGTAAACCGATCAAAAAATGTCAAAAAGAAAAAGAGAAAGTGAACAAACGTTTGTTCTGGGTGGGATGGATAAATCTCGAGAGAGAGAGAGAGGAGAAGAGAGAGAGGAGAGAGAGAGAGAGAGAGAGAGAGAGAGGAGAGAGAGAGAGGTGAGAGAGAGAGAGACAAGAAAGAGAGAGAGACGAGATAGAGAGAGAGAAGAAGAGGAGAATGTATAAATAGATGACAGAAATATAGAATAGAAAAAAGATTCAATATTGAGGAAATCAATTGAAGTTGATGTTATAAATGAAAGAAAGGGAGAGAAAAAAAATATCAAGATTGAGAGTTACGAAGTGGACGGATAAAAAAGAGGGAAGTGGGACACACACACAAAAAAAAAAACAGTAAAACGCTTTGCGACAACCAGGAGTAAACAGATAATAGACAGATTAGAAAGAATAGGAGAATAAAGCGACACGTATAAAGGAATAGAGACACACGCAGGTATATAAACAGCCAAAGGAAGAAGGGAATCAAGAAGAGAGAGAGAGGAGAGGGAAGAGAGGAGAACCTGTTCCAGCGGTAGCGTTGGCTCTGACGAAGGAGCCAAGGACGGGACAAGTAAATGTCATGGAAACGCCCCCCCCCTCCTTCCACCTCTATTCAATCCTATCCCCATTTTTCCCTTCTCTCTCCTTCCATTTCATCTCCTGTCCCTTCACCGGAACTCCCTTCCTATCCCAGCCCTCAATCGCTCCCTTCTCTTTCCTTCCGCTTTATCTCCTCCTTCACTACAACCTCTTCCACCCCTGTCCCTATCTCCGCTCTCCTCCTCTTTCCTCACCTCATTATTTTTACCCTTCCTTCCACTCCCTCTCCTTTCCCTTCCCTCATTCCTTCTCTCCTTCCACCCCACTCCCTCTCCCCTATCTTTCCCTCATTCCCTTCTCCTTTCCCCCCACTCCCTCTCCCCTCCCTTCCCTCTTCATTCCTTCTCTCCTTCACCCCTCACTCCCTCTCCCCTCCCTTCCCCCCCTCCTCTTTCTTCCCTCTCCCCTCCTTCCTCATTCCCTCTCTCCTTCACCCCCCACCCTCCCCCTCCCTTCCCTCATTCCCCTCTCTCCTTTCCCCCCACTCCTCTCCCCTCCCCCTCATTCCCTCTCTCTTCACCCCACTCCCTCTCCCTCCCTCCTTCTTCTCTCTCCCCTTCTCCCTCTCCCTTCTTCCCCACTCTATCCCCTATTCCTCCCCCTCCACTCCCTCTCCCTTCCTTCCCCACTCTCCTCTCCCCTTCCCCTCACTCCCTCTCCCCTCTTCCTTCCCCACTCCCCTCTCCCCTTCCTCCCCCTCTCCCCTCTCCCCTTCCTTCTCCTCTCCTCTTCCTACCCCTTCCCCCCTCCGCCACTCCTTTCACCTCTACCCTTAACCCTCTTCCTTGACTCTATCCCTATCCCCCCCCCCACGCCCAACCACTGAGTTCACCCCGCCCACCAGCCCGCACGAGCGCCCACCCGCCCACCGATCCCGCTATTCGTGTTCGCATGAGGCGATGTAGGGAGAGAAGAAGAAGAAGAAGAAACGACGAGGAAGAGGAATAGGAGGAGGGGGGGAGGGGGAGAAAGGCAAGAAGAACGTTAAAGACGACGACGGCAAGTAGAGAAAGGCAGGAGAAGGGGGAAGAGAGGAAGATAAAGGAGGGAAGAGAGAGGAGGAAGTATTGGATGAGAAAAAAAGAGAAAAACGAAAAGGAAGCAATGGAATACAGAAACATGAGGAGGCCCGAGAGAAGAAAATACAGAAAATACCAAGAAGACAAAACAAAGAACAATTAAAACACCGAGTTGAAAATTAGCGACACAAGGACACGCGCTCAGCAAATAAAAGACAAATACAACAAGAAAGCAAGAAGAGCGCCGGACGCCACCTGAAAGATACGCCATAATGCCTTCAAGGCTGGGCCGAAACAGACCGACGTGAGGGAGGAAACGCCCTCAAATGCGGAGACGGAGAGAGAGACAGAAGGGGATCGGGAGCACACGCGAGGCAATCAACGACGAGCAAGAGTGCCTGCGAAATTGCACTCATAATTGGCACTCCTTCGAGCCTCGGTAGCGCGGCCGGTGTCGCAAGCAGCCCTCCCCAAGGGCGGCGGTGACAAGCGCACGCATGCCCAAGCACTGTTCATGACATCAGATTCCAGGGTGTGACGTCACCACTTTCTAACGCCTGCCGCCACGCCCTGGCGTGCTTGCGCGGAGGGGCCTTGGGCGCCCGTGCCCGGTCGGCGCCCGCGTCGGGAGGGAGAAGCGGTGGACGACAGGCGACGAAAAAACGGTCGGGCAGCGGTCGAGGGAGGGAGGGGAAGGGGTAGGGGGGCGAACGCTTGGCAGCCAGCGTGCACACAGACATGGCCGCGCACGCACACCAACAAACCGCCTATCAAAAACAAACAAACACGCACGCACACACCCTACCTAACCACCTACCTCTACACGCAATCAGTATCCAATTACCAGTATAATCAAGCGCACATTCATCGTAAGTCAACCTGTTTTTCAAGTACCTGTAACCCCCCTTACCCCACCCTCCCTACCCCACCCCACCCCACCCAAGAGCATATCATAACAGCCTTTAAAGGTGAACATAACCGAACCGTTAGGGTACTCAGGGCCCGCTACCCGGTGGCCCTGACGACGCCGGACA